TGTCCGTGGCACGTAAGGTATGTTTGCAAGTATCATTGATGTGAAAGCAACTTCTCCTTAATTCCTTTCAATTTTGATTAACTGTTATTTGACTGTTTTGTTTTCCGACAGAGCCTGGGGTGACTCCCCAGACCTTGAGGATGAAGGTGACGATGGATTGACTGAGTAATTCGTCCACGAACATGGAATAATTCATCAGCCTCTTGACTCCGACTCGAAGATTTGTACCTTTTTTTAGAAAATAGTTTAAACAACTAAAATTCTTAAATGGAGTAGGAGAACTTTCAGCGAGATAGCTTGTTTATGAAATGTAACCTTTCTTTGTAACTGGCTCTGCCGTTTTCAAACTTACAGGGGATGGCACCCTTATTATTGCTATTCGTAGCCCGCAAGATGTTGCCATTGGTGTATCTGACAGGCAATAAGCTGATCTTGCTCTTGTTGTTGTTTTTTAGTTTTATGTAAGGAGGTTCCATGTGTAATTTTAACAAGGCTATCCAGATCATCAATTTTGGATGCTAGCCACATTTCGCCTCAGACATTAGTGCAGTAAAGTTAACTTCAGTGATGCATCAATCAATGTCTCGTTATTGACTATCAACTTACATGCGAAGAGGATCACTTTTTGAGTATCAGCCCTGGAGTCTAAGTTCAAGAAGATTTATGAACCACCTTTCTTGGTTGCTTAATCCATTACACAATAACATCAGTACGCATAATCTCCATACTGTTCTTGGTGTATCTTCTAAGGTGCTGAGAAGGAGAATATTTCAAACAATCAAAAGCTTGTTTAGTTGATGATCATTCTCTCTATTCCCGTGACCCTAATGAATGGGAAGATATTCATTTGTGAGGAAAAATTGGATGCTTGTCATTCGTAATTAATTAATTGTCAATACTCTGCATGAACTGAACTATCCGCCTCAGTATCGCCGGAAGCATCTTGTTTAAAAGCGATTTTCTGTTCATTGGAAAACTTGATGAAATTAACGAAGAGAAAGGCTTATGATTGGTCACCGGTTTAAGTGAGTAGTCGTGAATACAATTGTAGAGTTAACCCTTAACTTGTTGTAGCGTTCAGTCACTTTGCCACATGTGCAACCTCGAAACAGTTGAATTTCACTTCGATCCCCTTCAAACATCAGTTAAGTACAGTTGATTGAAAAAGCGAAAAAATAAATAAAAAGGTCTGTGGGTGAGCGCGTTAACCCTAGTCAGACATAAATTACTGGTTCGTGGATCTCCAAATCGTTTTTCGTATAAAACGGCAACGTCAGGCATCAGTAACACGTCCCTTGTCATTAAAGACCAACTGAACTTTGCACTCCATTTTCGATTTCCTCTTTCGGTAAAACTGGTGAATAATTTGACTCATGTGCAACCTTTTGGTTAATCAACCGGTTCGTGTTTCGTGTTCTTGTACGTCAAGGAGGAGTACTTGATGATTGCAGAGAATGCGATTGCCTTAAGGAACTCTCAACTCGAGCTCCCTGCTGAGAATACTCTAAAAATGTCGTTGGGTTTAAAATTAACTATAGCCCTACCCTCAGGCATTTAAAGGAAAAAACTTATTGCCGATAATACATTGCTTATTTTTCTTCTCTCTCTGCTTCGAAATCAGTGAGTTACATCTTCATTAAATTCCAACGTGTCTAAAACTAACTCAGTTGACTAACATTTTACGTTAGAAAAGAGACAAGGTTGATACGCTCTATCAACCTTGAAAACAAACAAAGAAACTCTCGCAACTATTAAAAACTCATTTTGATTTACTCACGGTGAATTTCCTTGCCATTTGATGGTGACCAGAAATAAAATTGTATAGATTAAATGTCCATTTAGCTTCAAAAGAGACAAACAAACAAACAAAAGTTTGGCAATCACAGCCAATTCGTTCACACGGCGGTGAAGCGCCACCGTGCCCTGGAACAGGGGTATGAAAATCTTACTTGCTCCAAGAATATTAACTATGGAATTCATATTTGAGTCAAAATATTAAAAGGCGTGAGTTTGAAAAGTCTGTAACACATTTATGATAGCGGTGGCAGGCTGTAGAACCCCATACAGAATGTGCCTGGGTAAAATGAGGAATACAATGGCTATGGAAAACAAAACAGCAATAAATATGTCCAAGATTAACGGACCCCCACAGAGGCTGTGATCGACCCTCAAAGCAGCTAGTAATGAGTGTATTTAATTGTTTCGCGTATTACGTTTTCGTGATTAATTCCAAGTTAACACCTGACTGACGTCCGCTACTGCCAAGAGCAGCCAGGTTTTTTTCAGCCTCTACAAAGGAAAGACAACATTGCTTCAATGGTTCTACGATCGCGGACGGATAATCATTCAATATTCAAGGCAATTATTACTATAATGGGCTCTGTAGAATATGGTTATTGTATTATGAACGCAGTGATTTGTTCAGAAATTAATCAGCAATGATAAGTTTCAGCCGCAAGAAGTTAAAAATTCCTTCGTGCAGGTGGTTAATAAAACAAGCCGCAAGTAGCCGAGGGAAAAAATAGATTCATGCAAAACTTTTTGGTTAGTCAACCAGCTCGTGTTTTGTGCTCCTGGCCAGCGTGGGCGCCAATTAGTGAGGTTGAACAAGTAATTAATGATGGCGGAGGATGTGATTGCCTTGGGGAAACTTTTAACTCCCTTAAAATACCATAGAAAATTGTGGTAGAGTTACAGCATCTACAGGAAAAACAAAGTTGTTACTAACTCATTTATTTATCTACGTTCTTCTCTTTCTCTTTCGAATTAAATGGCTGAAATCCAAATCAAATCCTTGCTAGTCTAGAATTGCCTCATTTCACAAAATAAATATTCCCAAGGTTGTAGGAGAAATAAAGGCAATTAGAACTTATCCTTTTTTTGCTCTCCTTTTTCTCGAACCCAGTGGGTGAGATCCCCAGCATTCCGAAAATTATCTCATTTCACCAAGATATGCGATCGAAGAAAGACAATATATATCGGTGTCTTTCCATTTTATGTGCCTGAGAAAAACCGGTCGATGGAAGTATAAAAATGACAAAAGTTTGACGATTCGGCGAAGCGCCATCGGACCGTGCCTGTAGACAGAGATAGAAGAATCCTGTCCACGAATGACCTAACAATCCGTCAAGCAGCTATGAACGAGTGTATGCAAAATCGGTTTTGCGTGATGTACTTTCCAAGAATGATGTTATGTCAACTGGCTGGCTGACGTCTGTTACTGGCTTGAACAAAGATTTCTACCGATTCATTCATAAAATTAATCAACCAGACGATTTGGCGAAGCATTACCATGGATCTGCTTTTCTTTTTTCTTCTCATGATTGCATAAATTGATGTTTGCGTTTTGCGTAAACAATCCTCGACCTGCAACACTCAAATCACTGCTACATAGCAACGTATAACATCCAGAAATTTCTTAACCCTTTTATCATTTTTTTTTAAGCTCATTTGTTATTAGCTCAGCAGGGGTTTCTGGTAGCTCTTATTGAACGTCAAGTAATAAAAAATCAATGCGAAGAGTCAGTTTATTTTGAAATTTATCATATCTATCTTCCTTGTTTAAGGTGCTCATTTATAAGGTTTATTCCTATTAGGATGCAGTTGTTTCTAAATAGCTTTTTATTTTCTGTGGAGGTTGCCAAATTAATTTGACAGCCCCGTCAGATTCAGTGTTATTGGTGGCACTAGTAGAAGAAGAAATTGAGATTTATTGATAGCTTCACTGACAAAAGCTCAAGAAAGCCTTCATGTTAAGCCATAAATAGCCATGGTGAGGCTTTTTCGTGGCTTTGGCGATGGCGGAAAACCTCAAAGGAAAAAATCTCTGTTCCTTGTGGTAAGCTGGAACAAAGCAGAGAAAAATTAACAAAGCAAAGGGTGTGGTGAGATTTAGCGGACTCTTAAGCTTACAAGTGTTTTTAATTTAATCACTGATTTCTGGTTTGCAACACGAAATCATTAGTCCATCGATCGTAAATATGATCCTATTCTACAATGCAACAGAAGTTTTGAGAAAAACTTTTAACTGTCGATTCATGATTCAGAATTAAGAGAAACAGAGAGTTAGTCTCTCCATCCGCTCGCCTCAACCCAAAGGGAGATTGACGGCAAATTGGGCAGGTCAGCATCTGACGTCATAGCTTGTTTTACACTTGTTTACGCAGTAGCATCGAAAAAATAGATCATCTGCGTCCATTACAGCCAATGAAAAACGTAACACCAAATTCAAATTTTCTCTTTCATGATGCTTTACCTTATAGGCAAGTTATTTCTCTTGTTATCATTCTTCGACCTTATTTTACATTCTCTTGAGAGCTGCTTATTGATATCTTGTTAATTTTTCTGGCATTACCACTGCGTTTATTATTGATCTCGTAAACGCGGAAAATAGTATTGACCTTAAACAATTAACGAGTTCCTTGTTGGAAGACATCCATGCACTAAGCTCAAACAATTAGTTAATTAGTCATTAGAGTTTTTTCGATAAATAATCAAAACAGCGGGTACAATAAAGGAAAAAGGGTTTGGAGACTTGAAGTGCCACTCACAAAAACCTGATCTCGGCAGCATTTGTCAATATTGCTCGGGTTATATTTCTTCAACTTCTACTTCCACTTGAGACGTTTAGGAAATAGTAATAATAATGATAATGGAACAAAAACCTGGCACTTAGTTCCTTGTTGGAGGACATGCACGTACAAAACTCAAACAACGATAAAATCAAAGCTAATTAATTGATGTATAAACCAAGAATAAATTTAAGTCAACGTCTTTTGGTACTTTAGATTTCTTAGTAACCTTGAATGCGAAAACTGCAAGGCAATGCAAATAAAATTAGGCCAAGTATAATCATTTCAACTTCAACCTTTTTGAGGAGCCGCCTTTTCCAAAAATAAAGACAAATCAAGTATTTTCCCAGAGTGATGAATCGATCGATAAAGAACCAATGCGTGTGGCAAACAGTTATTTCAATGGCATTCAAAACTGACCACAACAAAAGACACAATAAGCTGAAAGAGTTCCTGTTTGGAGTTATAAATTAAGAAGTTTCAAGTCAGAAAAGTTAGAGCTATTTGTTCGTTCCGAGGCGAAGAATCAACTGACTTAAAGGTAAGAGTAAACTTTATGCTAAGCTAGTTATCAATACCAATACTAATTTTTTTTAGTTATCATCTAGGTCTGTAAGCATTTAATGGTCTAAGTTAAGTCTATAAGCAAAGTTCTCGCGTCATAACAGAACGAAACAAAAATCTCGAAGGGTTTCGGAAAGGGCTCCGGACGATATCAGATTAAGTCATATTTTGTTGCTTTCCATCCGAAAAGAATCACCTGTTTTCAAATCAAAGACCTGCTCGTAATCACCGGATTAATTATCCCTTTTAAGGACATTGGTGATGATTGCAGTGATCAAATGCACAGAAAATACAAATACAGCAATAAATACCTAGACTACTAAATTTACACATATATAATTAAATTGGCTTTCTTCAATCCATAATGCAACAATGGTACTTCGGTGCTAACTTTTTATTCTTGCTTTCCTTAACGACTTAGAGGGTTTTTTGTCTGATTGACAGCCCGTTGTAACGTGAATTGAAAAAGATCCTTGCCCATAAACTATCAGAGCAGCGACACTAGGCTCCATTCACGAGTATGAAAAAGAAATGGCTTTACGTAATATTCTTCTTAGTTTGTTTGTTTGTTTGTTTGTTCTCTGGTTTTATTTCACTGTACAGAAGAGACTCAATATTGCAATATTGCAGCCCAGACAAAGTTCAAGGCCAGATTTGAGAAACACACGTCGCGGAACCTAAACGCTCAATCGCCCACAGATATTGTTCAAATCAAATTATTGACGTCAAATGTGGTTTTGAACTTAACACACACGCCGAGAATGAAGTCGATGGGTTAAAACGACCAATTAGCCAACGAGAATTCTACGATAGAATTTGCCAAATGTTAGCCGCTGCCGTTCGTCTATTTGATGATAGAAGAAGTAAATGAAACATAGGGTTTTTTTCAGATCAGAGCTTTGACATCTATAGCCCACGGTATTTTGCTGATTACTTTTCCACTACTTCAGACTTTATTTTCTATATAGTATGTCGTTTTAATTTACCTCACATTACGACGGCGGTTTTTTTCAAACTCACGGGAACGAGGAAATTAGAATTGATCTTTCGAACCAAAAACCAGTGACTTCCTTGTTGGAGGACACCCTGGCACTCCATTTCATTAGCTATATCTCTGCAGTATAATAATGTGACGGAATTGTTTAGCCTCAGTGTTCTCTGGCTTCACTTCATTGCGCAGAAGAGACCCAATATTCCGATATTGCAGCTCAGTCAAAGTTCAAGGCCAAAATTAAGTAACACACGTCGCGGAACCTCTAGACTCAATCGTCCACAGCTATTGTTCCAATCAAATTATTGACGTCAAATGCGGTTTTGGACTTAACACACACGCCGAAAATGAAGTCGATGGGTTAAAATGACCAATTAGCCAACGAGAATTCTTCGATAGAATTTGCCAAATGTTAGCCGCTGCCATTCGTCTATTTGATGATAGAAGAAGTAAATGAAACATAGGGTTTTTTTTCAGATCAGAGCTTTGATATCTATGGTATTTTGCTGATTACCTTCCCACGACTTCAGACTTTATTTTCTATATAGTATGTCGTTTTAATTTACCTCACATTACGACGGCGGTTTTTTTCAAACTCACGGGAACGAGGAAATTAGAATTGATCTTTCAAACCAAAAACCAGTGACTTCCTTGTTGGAGGACACCCTGGCACTCCATTTCATTAGCTATATCTCTGCGGTATATAAGTGACGGAATTGTTTAGCCTCAGTGTTCTCTGGATTTACTTCACTGCGCAGAAGAGACCCAATATTCCGATATTGCAGTTCAGTCAAAGTTCAAGGCCAAAATTAAGTAACACACGTCGCGGAACCTCTAGGTTCAATCGTCCACAGCTATTGATCCAATCAAATTATTGACGTCAAATGTGGTTTTGAACTTAACACACACGCGGAAAATGAAGTCGATGGGTTAAAATGACCAATTAGCCAAAGAGAATTCTACGATAAAATTTGCCAAATGTTAGCCGCTGCCGTTCGTCTATTTGATGATAGAAGAAGTAAATGAAACATAGGGTTTTTTTTCAGATCAGAGCTTTGATATCTATGGTATTTTGCTGATTACCTTCCCACGACTTCAGACTTTATTTTCTATATAGTATGTCGTTTTAATTTACCTTACATTACGACGGCGGTTATTTTTAAACTCACGGGAACGAGGAAATTAGAATTGATCTTTCAAACCAAAAACCAGTGACTTGGCCACGCTTAACAATTATATGAAAAGCAAAAATCATTTTAGGCTTTTAAAATTGTGAACCAAACTCTTGCTCGCACAATATTTTACTTCTGCGTTTTGAAGTACTTTCCGTGTACTCTTCAAGCTCAAACGTGAAACTGATGAAACCGTAGAGAAAGAAATTTAAGGCAGAGTTCACAAGACGTGGTCACCGTAAATCTGCATAGAAAATTTCCTCGCCCGGAAAAAAGAACTGCATACGTATTAAAAGGTGATTGGGATGATACGAGACTGCTTTCTAAAGGTGACATAACTGACATTAGTATTTTAAATGAAACTTCTTTGGGATGATTTGCGAAAGTCAGTACCGGTAAACAGCGGACAGCTCTCTCTTGCAAATATATTCTGGTGCTCAATTTGAAAGTGTTTAAACGTTTGAGAAGTTCACACTAGAATTCATTGCGATGCGAAATTTATTTTTCATTCTCTCAGTTACCAGAGAGTTGAGACTTTAACCCCTTACCTCGCGGTGATTAATATTCAACAGTAATCTTGTTAGCTTCACGAAGGGCTTCATCAACAAAGCAAACCTTACCTCAATCGCTGAGCGCGGCCATTAACAACTTTGTAGTAGCCTATCACCATCCTTTCACGATATATCGGGAAATATCGCCATTGATGGTTTATTGTCAGAAAATATTAAAACTCTCCATATTTTCGCTCTCACATGCCATAAATCTAACGAAGGTTTTAAATCTGCAACGGCGACTGCCAAAGTCATACGTCGGATCCGAAGATGTTTTCAGTATTTGACGATCAAACATTTCATCAATAATTCCTTGAAACACGCTACATGAGTTGTCCAAACGTATTCTAATGAAGATTTTCCGTAGAGATTTTTTTAAATTCCTTCTAAAATAGCGTGTGAGTTAGGTGTAAGAGAAAATCTGGCAGAGTTGCTTTAATTTCAGGCTTTCATGTCTTAATGCGTATGACCAAAATGAAGTTTCATGCGCCGGTGGCCTTGATCGAATTTAAGTGGTTTTCTTTTAGAAACTATCCACCTCAATTTCAAAGAATAAGTTTAAATCAAGTTTTGTGTTGCTGTGACGCAGAAACCACCAAAGAAACAATCTAGTCTTGCGCTTATAGGAATCACGGCGAGTTTTAGAAGACTGTATTTTGCAAAAGTGAAAGTTGCTCATCAAAATTTCAAGTTCACTTTCAAAAGCAGTAATGTCATTACATGTCAATAATGAATTGATCGACCTCTATGTCGACGACTCCATATTACCCTACTTTTTTCTTCAGCAGACAACATGGTAGGACATTTTCTCTGTGCCTTGCTGCTTATCTTGGTTCTGGGATTTGAACAGGGATCCTCTTCTGTTTTGAACGACCCAGACCGGTTAGAGGAAGACACCTACACTACAGCAGACGTGGCGGATGACCTTGCCGAGCTGAATGACCTGGAAGTGGAACAGGTGCAAGACAGCGTGTCGGCCGACGTCTGCAAAGAGATCAAAGATGAATTCAAAGCCGTGCAGAAAAAATCCATGGCTGAAGCCAAAAAAGAAAAACCTGATAGCATGATATTTTGGAGACAGGTAGCAGTTAGACGAAGTCTGAGAAGAAGCTTTCAGATACTACAACATGGTAAAAGATCAAAGGTGGACAACTCGATAGCGGTGAGGGCATTACGCAACGAAGCTTGTGCCAAGCATGCCATACAAGACATTTGTGAGACGACGAAGGTTTTGGACCTTTTAAACATACCTTTGAATACAAGAAAGTAAGTGTTTCCAAAAGCAGGACACAAAAATGACGTTCAGAGCTCAGTTACTTAAACTTACATTTTCAAAAATATCAAATTCAAAACCTTAAAATGCGCGCAAGTTATTTAGAAAAATGTATTTCAGTAAAAAAGTTGATGATCTTTCAAGGTGTCATGATCTCCATTAAGCAGGAACTCCTTAGCGACCTTGCTGCACCAAACAGCTCAACCGAACTCGAACCGAATTAGACTCCACTCAGTACAATTACTATTGCTAAAACCTTTTCAATGATATAACGTTTGGGGTGGTTTCTTAAAAAGAAGCGCGCGCACGAATTTTTTCTTTTGTTTCAGCTCTTTAAGACACCCGCGAAGGATTGGATTAACCTTAATTCCTCAATTTTTCTTTGAACAAAAATCTGAACTCTTTCTCTCCAAAACATATTTTACTCTTTAGACCGTAATTTGTTGAGCCAAAGCTGCTAAAGTCAACCCTGGCCACGGCACCTCAACCTTGCTAATACCTTTATCGTCCTTTACAATTACCGGCGCGTTTGTTTTTTCATTTATAGCATTTCCAAATTTGTGGTGGCATTTTAGTTTCTAACGGAATTCTGTCAATAAACAAGTTATGTTTACTTTTCTCTTCAGGAGGAGGAGAAGAAGGATATGCAAGAGGAAGGTTCTTAAATGTTTAGAACACGAACCCCTGGGGAACATAAAATGTCCACATAAGTCTGAGGAGAAAGCCCGTTTTAGAACAATTGATGGAACTTGCAATAACGTGAATCAACCCCTTTTTGGAGCAGCTGGTACTCCATTCATACGAGTACAACCAGCTGATTATGCAGATGAGGTCTCGGCACCTCGCGTGGCAGAAAATGAAGACCAGTTACCCAACGCGAGAAACGTGAGTCGTTTCGTTCATGGCAGCAATGCAAACCTCCAAAACCCTAATTCTCCAAGGCTGACTCACTTAGCAATGAATTGGGGTCAGTTCCTGGACCATGACTTAACGCTGGCAGGAGAACAACATGTTACCTGTGAAACCTTTCCCTCTAATGAGTCAGAGTGTTTCAACGTTGAAGTTCCGGCCGATGATGACGTCTTCCAGAGCAGGGGTGTTACATTCTTCGAGCTGATTCGAGATGCTCCCTTTGAATTTAAGCTAGAGTGTTCACCAGGACCAAGAGAGCACACCAACACGATAACAGCTTTCATCGACGCCTCCAACGTTTACGGCTCCGACGAGGAGGAGGCTGAACACCTTCGAGCACCCGACGGGACAATGAGAATTATGACACCTCGTCACGGCTGCCCCTTAGGGGATCTTTTACCTGCACAAACAGATCCTGAGATACCATGCGTATCAAAAGATCCTAACAGACCTTGTTTCGTAGCCGGAGACGAGCGCGCGAATGAGAATCAAGGTGAGGTCACCAAATCCTTTTATTCGCTTCTCTGATTAAGACAAATAGACCGTGGTATATCGACCTTTTTCAAACACTTCTATAGCGTATTCATATCGAACATTTACAACAAAACTGTAAAATATTGTTACTTCTACACATGTAGACCACACATTTTCAAAGGTTCCAGCTTCAGGTGTCAAGGCTTACACACAGACATCCTTATTAAGACGTGACTGAAATGATGAAATTGCACATGAGCTCTCTTTAAACCTTTTGGTCCCAAGATCTCAACACTATTGCTTCTGAATGTCTACCATACCTTGTGTCGCGAGGAGAAAGTGTTTTTCGGTCATTTGAGGCCGTGAAATAACTCATACTCGACAAGCAATAAAGGGAGTATCCTGTGCGGGAATTTGTCATGCATCTTCCTGTCTCAAGCCCTTCCATCTCCTCCTATATTGAATAACCCTTTTATCTTCTTGCTAATGATATATATTTTATGGATTCAACAGGTCTCATGTCAGTGCATACTCTCTTCGTTCGGGAGCATAACCGAATAGCAACATTTTTCGGTGAAAACACAGAATGGGAAGCGGAGCAGATTTACCAGGAGACCAGGAGAATCGTTGGAGCGGAATTACAACTTATTACATACAACGAAGATCTACCACTACTTCTTAGCCCCAAAACGGTAAGTAACTGTTTTCATCGCTGTTTTATTTTTTTTTTCGAATTCCCAACTGACTTCTTTTCTTCATTTTTTAGATCAGAGACAACAATCTCGCTCTGCTGAAAGGAACACGGTATTTCAATGGTTACAACCCTGGTGTCAATGCCCAAATGTCTCAAGCCTTCTCTGCGGCGGCTTACCGATTTGGCCATAGTTTGGTTCAAGAGGAGTTTCTACGTCTAAGTCAGAATGGCTTTGAACACAAATGTAGCGATGATTCTAAGTCAGAGTTCTATCCTATCCCAGTAAAGGACTTCGGTAATCCAACCTACCTATACGAAAAGTGTAACGGGGGTGTCGATTCCATTTTTAGAGGCTTGGTTAAAAGTCCAGCGGCCAAAGTTGATGGGTGAGTGGGAGATGAATTTGTAATAGAACATCCTTTAACGTATCTCTTGCCTAGAAAAAGCGAGCCAAAAGATACGTTTTCATCCGAAGGGGGAAGGGAGGAGTTATTAGGCGAAAGAGGAAAAGTGGTGGTTGTGCGAAAACTAAAACAGTTAATTACACGAAAACATCGAACGAAATATCATTTTACCCAAATACTTCTGATTTAAATGTTTGACCTCGAGAAATTCAAAATCCGTGCTAGAATATTTGCTGAAACAATATTTCCTATCAGGTAACTTAGAACGAAAGGTTAACTGCCAAAAAGTAATAAATAAGGTTATTGAAAATATCCTATTTCTTTATTAATCATGAGTGGGATTATCAGTTACTTATTAATACACGATATTGATTTGCATACGATTGATCGTTGACCGTTGGTCTGATTCTTTCCCTAGGCTCTTTTCCAAGTCTATACAAGAAAACTTGTTTCGAGGCCCTGGTGACTTGTCCGACCTCGTATCCCTGAACATTCAAAGAGGACGTGAACGTGGTGTGCCTTCATACACAACATATCGAAACACGTTTTGTAAAATTACGCCTATAGTAAACAGCTTCGAAGATCTGGAAAAGGCTGGCATCAACCGAAAAGATATAGATAATTTGAAGTCCCAGTACCAGTCAGTCCACGACGTCGATCTTTTTGTTGGAGGTATGTCTGCGCCAGCGTAATGCCGCCATTCAGCCAATTTCGATTGAGTTTTGTGAAACCAAATCCAAAGTAATCTCCATAGGGAGCCAATCAAAACTCAAAAAGAAAGGAGGGGGAAAAGCAAGTAAACTGACTGAAGGACAGGAAAACGCAAATGATCAAGTCGTTTTTGTTTGAAGTTTTTCATCTGATTGTTTAAGACGGGGACGTAACTTTTCTTGACCGGCCACAAAGAAAAGTGAATCAAAACAAATGCAATCCCGGACTACTTTATAGAGTGCATTTCGATTGAGTGTCGTAGTTCTAAAACCAAAGCGATCACAACTACCAATCAGTACATAGGCGCATATCACAAGGAACCAATGAGAACTGCAAGAAAAAGCAAGCAAACTGCCTCAAGCGCGGGGAAACGCGAGTTATCAAGCCATCTTTGGTTTAACTTTTTGATCCTCATTGATTGGTTCTAAGGTGGATCGAGTTTTCTGGACCAATAACAAAGCATAGTAAAGAAAAACCAAAGCAGTCTTGAATTGTTTTTGATGTTTGATTGAAAATTGCTTTACAATTTTTAATTAACTGAGTATTTGGTCGAGATATGTGCCTATTTGAGCTATTTCTTAGCTTGTAACCACAATGCTGCAAAATCTTTTAACGAATGTGAACCAGGTACACGGGTGTTCCCGAACCTAACCACTCGTGTAGCCATTCATAACGAAGGATTCGCTTTATCACGCCTACTCCAGGACCCACAAAAACCTTTGTTATGATTCTTCACAGGAATGTTGGAGCCGGCAGATTCAGAGGGAGGAGCACTAGGGAAAACCTTTCAATGTATATTAGCTGACCAGTTCAAACGCCTACGAGAGGGTGACCGCTTCTGGCATGAAAATGCGCCAAACCGAATAAAGAACACTGATAAAACAGCTTTTACGCGATGCCAACTGCAAGAAATAAGAAAGGTTACATTGGCCAAGATAATCTGCGACAATGCTGAGAACATCCCTTCTATCCCCAGGAGGGTATTGCAACAGTCAAAGACATTCGTCGATTGTAAAAAGCTACCCGAAATGAACCTGGATGTATTTACACCAGATTTCAGATGTCCGCGCCAGGGAAGGTACGTTTGCAACTATTATTGATTTGAAAGCAACACCTGAATTCGGTTTGAACTTTGATTAACTGTTATTTGACTGTTTTTTTTTCCGACAGAGTTTTGGGTGACGGCCCAGACCTTAAGGATGAAGATAAAGAAGGATCGACTCGACTGAGTAATCCGTCCACGAATATGGGATAATTCATCAGCCTCTTGACCCCGACTCGAGGATTTGCACTTGATTAATTCTAACTGGGTTTCATGTTTTAAGCTTGATTTGCGCATGATGTAGATCATATTTTAAATTTAAATTCTTAAAATGGAGTATGAAAATTTTCAGCGAGATAGCTTGTTTATGAAATGTAACGTTTCTTTGTAACTGGCTGTACTGTTTTTCAAACTTACAGGGGATGGCGCCCTTATTATTACCATTTGTAGCCTGCAAGATCTTGCCATTGGTGTATCTGACAGGCATTAAGCTAATTTTGCTGTTGTTGTTGTTGTTGTTTCGTAGTTTCGAAACGATCGCCTTAGATATTAATGTAGTAAAGTTTACTTCAGTGACGCATCAATCAGTGTCTAGCTCGTTATTGACTATCAACTTACATGCGCAGCGGATTCGGCACTTTTCGAGTATCAGCCTTATAATCTAAGTTCACAAAGATTGATAAACCATCTCGCTTAGTTGCTTAACCCATTACAAAATAACATCAGTAGGCATATTCTCCATACTATTCTCTGTACATCTCCTTGGGTGCTGACAAGGAGAATATTTTTAACAATCAAAAGCTTGTTTAGCTGATGATCAGTTCCTCAATTCCCGGGACCTTAATGAATGGGGTGATATTATGAGAAGAAATTGGATGTTGCACTCTTAATTAATTGTCAATACTCTACGTGAACTGAACTATCCGCCTCAGTATCGCCGGAAGCATCTTGTTGAAAAGCGATTTTCTGTTCATAGCAAAACTTGATGAAAGAAGAGAAAGGCTTATGATTGGTCACCGGTTTAAGTGAGTAGCCGGGAATACAACTGTAGAGTTAACCCTTAACTTGTTGTAGCGTTCAGTCACTTTGCCACATGTGCAACCTCGAGACAGTTGAATTTCACTTCGATCCCCTTCAGACATCAATTAAGTACAGTTGATTGAAAAACCAAAAAATAAATAAAAAAAAGGTCTGTGGGTAAGCTCGTTAACCCTAGTCAGACATAAAATTACTGGCTCATGGATCTCCAAATCGTTTTTCGTATAAAACCGCAACGTCAGGCATCAGTAACACGTCTCTTCTTATTGAACACCATCTGAACTTTGCACTTTATTTTTTAACCTTAGAAATTTCTACTTTTTGATCAAACTGCTGGGCACCGTCGCGAATAGACTAAATTCCCGACAGTTGTAAATTTAATTATTCACCAAAATGCCTTCGAAGAGTTCTACTTCGTACAGGGCACTTTTACCAGTTCTTTCTTTAAAAATTTCTCTCTGTAAGCCAGCAAATCTTGAACATAAAAAGGGGTCAACATGTTCCCCTAAGCTGTATTTTGGTTCACTCGATGTAAAGATCTCTGACAGTGACAGTGCATCTTTTACTACAATACCCCCAAAGGCCCTGTTACGCTGAGTAAAAGTACATCTTCACAGAAGTAAAACCTTTTTAAATCTACACTCCGTGAAAATAAGTTTTCTGAATTCGGTGGATATTTCCGACTGCCGGGCATTTAGTCTATTTGAGATCTTGCCCGGTAGTCTTTTCAAGTGTCGACAACCAAGCGATTTTGTGGTTCGATAAGCTCGGAAAAATGATGTTAGAATCACATGGGATATGTAGACAAACATCGAGTTTTCCCAATAGCTTTTATTTGAGGTTTACTGCAATGTTTCCCTCCATATTTACTGAGCTTGAAGCTCTCCTTTACTGTCACGCCACAGTGGTATAGGAGACAACATTTTACGAAACCAGCGTGACCTCCCGAGCTTTAAAACATGCTTGGTACGTTCAAGCTAACCAAAGCCAACGCAATCCTTTGAATCGCTTGGTATTTCTAAATAAACTCGAATATTCCGAATAGTCTGTCCAAAAGCGTAAAATTCCTAAGTGGCAACAACAGAGCGATGTTATAGGATGCACAATCTCGGAAAATTTATCCAGTTAAGGAGACTCCATAGGGTTTTATGACCGCGTGAGCTTTAAAACTGTCAACATGAAAACAAACACGGCGGCTCGATACGATCGCACGATTGTTATCTGAAATGGTGTGTTAAAAACAGTTTCACACAATACATTTTTTCTGTGATGGAACCTGGGGTTTCCAGCAACTGCACCCGTAATATTCCTAGGCCTTCTACGCCTAAAGAAGGGGTCAACCGAAAAGAAGACACTGTGGGACAGACGAGGCGACAGATTCGAAAGTTTACACATGCTCAGATAGAGATCTTGGCGAAGTTCTATTCCATTACGTAATTTTTTGTGACAAAGAAAATAAGGATCTTTCGAGCAAGATTTATCGCGTTTCCTTGAGTGGAACTTCCCAAGATTTGCTGGACCGCTAAACATAATTGTGCCCTTCCTGGTGTCTGTTGATGAAAACAGTCATAAGAACAAATTTGAGACAGAGGAAGAAAAAACAAATTTAAATTGCAAATAGCGAGAAAACTGCCATTGTAACCCCTATTTTTTTCGGCTTTTAAATAATCAGCAGGACAAATTTCACAAATTGTGAAAATTTAAGAGATTTTACCGAAGCAAAGGCAAAGCAAAATTATCGCTGGCGAGCGCCTCCCTTCGTGGAGCCTTTGCTTAATAACGAAAATCACTTTGATAATATTTACTACAGCAAACGATAGTCCGAACCTTACTCATCTCCCTCTTGATGGCTTTTAGTGACATAGAAAGGCGAAAAGATAAAAATTTCAGTCTAGAAAAAGAATACGCTGGCGCGCGCGCCAACATTGAGGAAAAACCCTATGGAGCCACCTTAAACAACAGTTTAATATTTAAATCGCTTGAAATTTCTAAACATCTGATATTACAAGTTTGGAAACAAACTTCTGATATAAGAAAGTTGGAAGAAACTTTTAATGGAAATTCTGTGAAAATTTCTGACTGCCAGGCATTTAGTCTATTTGAGACCGTGCCCGGCTGTCGGGCATTTAGTCACAGCGTAAATTGTAACCTTTTTAAAGAGCTGCATTTTCCAAGAATATAGACAAATCAAGCATTTCCTCGGTGTAAAAAATCGATCAATTAAAAACAATTGTTTTGGGCTAAAATTTATGTTAATTACATCAAATTTAATATCTGGAATCGCTCGACATTTCTAAACAAACATTTGATATTAGAGGGTTGGAAGAACCTTTTAGTGGGAATTCTGTGAAAATTTCTGACTGCCAGGTATTTAGTCTCTTTGGGACCGAGCCCGGCTGCCGGGCATCAAGTCACGCATAAATTGTAATCATTTTGAAGAGCTGCCTTTTCAAAAAAAAAATGAACAAATCAAGAACTTTCTTGGTGTAAAATTCGATCCATACAATAATCATCGTTTTGGGCAAATATTTATTTTGATCACATCAAAATTCCCACAACAAAAGACGCATTAAACAGATAAAGTTCCTGTTTGGGGAAGTAAGAAATTTTAAGTCAGAAAAGTTAGAGCTGTTCGGTAATTTCATTGCGAAGAATCAACTGACTCAAAAGTATGAATGAATTGTAAAAGTTAGTTACATGCATCTACACTTATACCTTAATCAATATTTCCTACATTATTTAATAGCCTTAGGGATATCAAAAAGTCTCTATTACTTTGGTCTAAAAGCATCGTTCTCGCGTCATAACAGACCAACAAATTATTCGAAGGGTTTTTGGAATGGCCATGGGTCCAAACGAGATCAGATTATGTCAAAGAATCGGCTGTTTTCAAATAAAAGACCTGAGAGTAGTTGCTGGTTAATAAGCCTCTTTAAAATTTGGTGATGATCATAGCCTTAGAAAGATCGGTTAACTGTAATCCAGTCAATGTTTGTAGACCATATAGAGAATAATACATGAGCGCGCCTAGATATAGAGTTTTTCTGTGAGTGTTACGGCATCTAAAGATAAAAAAAAGTAATAACTTATTTATTTATGTACTTTCTTCTCTTTCTCCATTGAATTGAATGGCTGAAATCCAAATCAAATCCCCACTAGTCTAGAATTACCTCATTTCACGAACGAAATATTCGAAAATATCAAGTCCCCACTAGTTTAGAATTACCTTTTTTCACTAACGAAATATTCGCAAGGTTATAGAAGAAATAAAGCAAATTAGAGCTTATCTTTTTTTTGCTCTCTCTTTCTCGAATCCAGTGGCTGAGATTCCCTTGTGCTCCGAAAGATTATCTCATTTCAAAAAGATATGCGATAAAAGAAAGAGAACATTTATGGGTGCCTTTCCATTTGAAAGTGTTTCAGAAAACACGGCCGATGGAAATGTAAAAAAGGCAAAAGTTTGACGATTCGGCGAAGTACTACCGGACCGTGCCTGTAGTTGGAGATAAGAAAATTTTGTCCACCAATGACCTAACAATCCGTCAAGCAGCTATGAACAAGTGTATGCAAAATCGGTTGTGCGTGCTCTACTTTCCATGAATAATCTTATGTCAACCGAGCGATATTAAAGGTGCACAAGCTCGAAGAATTTATCCAATTAAAAAAAAAAATTAATATTTGGAATCGGTTGACATTTCCAAACAAACATATCATATTAGAAGGTTGGAAACAAATATCTGGTATTAGAAGGTTGAAAGAACCTTTTGATGGAAATTCTGTGGAAATTTCTCGCTGCCGGGTATTTACTCTATTTGAAACCGGGCCTGGCTGTCGCACATTAAGTCACAACGTAAATTGTAACCTTTTTGTAGAGCTTCTTTTCAAAAACAGTGAACAAATAAAGTGTTTTCACGTAGTAAAACATTGATCAATAAAATACCATTGTTTTGGGCAAATGTTTATTTTGATTACATCAAATTTAATATTTGGAATTGCTTAACATTTCTAAACAAACATCTGATATTAGAAGGTTGGAAACAAACATCTGATATTAGAAGGTTGATAGAACCTTTTGACGGAAATTTTGTGAAATTTCTCACTGCCGGGCATTTAGTCTATTTGAGACCGTGCTCGGCTGCCGGGCATTAAGTCAAAGCGTCATTTGCAACCTTTCTTTAAGAGCTACCCTTTCAAAAATATAGACAATTCAAATACCTTTTCGGTGTAAAATCGATCTATAAAATACCATTATTCTGGGCAAATATTTATTTTGATAACAACAAAAATTACCACAACAAAAGACGCATTAAACAGATAAAGTTCCTGTTTGGGGTAGTAAAAAAAGAAATTTTGAAGTCAGAAATGGGAAGAATCAACTGACTCGAAGGTAAGAATGAATTGTGTAAGTTAGTTACATGTATCTATACCATTACCTTAATCAATATTTCCTTCATTATTTAATAGCCTTAGGGTCATCAAAAAGTCTTTATAACTTTAGTCTCAAAGCATCGTTCTCGCGTCATAACAGACCGAAAAACTATTCGAA